TCCTCAACTCTAGGAATAACCCTTCTTTGTTACCCAAGCTCAATTACAACCCTGGAAAGTCCTTGTGATTCTTGCTTTCATATTGCTCAATATGATTTTTTTTCTTTATGAATGCATAATTTAACTTTTTGCTAGCTTGATTTTTGAGTGAGAGTTAAGCCCCTTGTGTTTTTGTTATTCATCTATCAATGAATTGAATGCTAGGTGTGATTCATTTTTTAACAGTGTTTTGTTTTAGAATGTTTTACATGTATTTTATATATAGGAGTTGTTTTGTTTTCATGTTGTCGTTGTAGTGTAGTGGTAAATTTTTCTTTTCTTGTACATTTTTATTTTGAACTATATGTTTGTTTTTCATTTTCCAAACTTGTTGATTCCTGATTGCTTGGTTGATACTTTTTTTTTAAGTTTTGGGACTTTGCTTGAGGACAAACAATGTTTTAAGTTGGTGAGATTTAATGAGTGCTTAATTATTGTGAATTTGAGTGTAGATAATTAACATTCATTGGTTTTTTATTTGGTTTTTGTCAATAAACCTCAACTTTTATGTACATTTTGTATAGTTTATGTTATTGTGTATAATCGTGATTTTGTGTAAATATCACTCGATTGATTGTTTTTATCTCAATTTTGTAGGTATTCAAGCAATTATATTTAGCCATTGTAATAAAGAGAATTGAATGGGATTTCTAACGCTTCAATCCGTGCGTAAATTGGAGTTATGATTCTCAAGTTATGGAAAAAACAAGTGCTGATTTTTTTTTCGACATAGCAGGAAGCGTGCTAGGCGCCCTCTGCGTGGGCTTAGCGTGTCCTGGGAATTTGTAACTCATTAAATAGGGAAAAACACATTTTTAGGTTACGGGTTGATTATTTTTAAATCCTAACACCATTAACTTCATTTTTTGGTCTAGAGAGCTTAGAAAGCATCAATGGAGGTTGCAACTCGACGATAAGGGGTTGATGATTCTTGGATCGTGATTGACACCGCAAGAGATTTTGACTCCTCTCCTCTATTTCCTTTGTGATTTCTATTTGTTGTGAGTTTATATGTAATTTACATTTATTATATATATATATATATATATATATATATATATATATATATATATATATATATATATATATATATATATATATATATATATATATATATATATATATATATATATATATATATATATATATATATATATATATATATATATATATATTTGTTCCTCATGGTATTGTATAAAACTTCTTTTACAAATTAATATTGATGATTGCTTGCTTTGTTTGGGTTTGAGTTGCTGCAGACATGGTTCGAATCCAGATTTAGAATGAACATCTATTAGATTCTAGAAATAGATTTAGGCTTAATATTCACATGGGTATCAGTTTTTAATGTCTCCGTGTTATTTAAGTTGCGCGAGACATCGCCTCAGAGAGCAATACGGTTGACATCTCACTCCGCGTTAGAGATAAACTCTGTGAAAGAATATTTATTTTCTCGTTCATAAAATTTACTTTTTTTCACTTTACATTTTTAAAACATTCTAAACCAAGTTCAAAAACGCGTAAGCGATTGAATGACATTCTTCTCTCGCACCAATTCATGTAGATACGATAAAATTCAGAATAATTCCAATATTTTGCCTTTCCGCTTTACTGCGTCAACAACACCTTCAGTCCTATTGTGAAAATGACGACCATTAGAGTTTTATTGGCAATTGCAGCTACCCAACAATGGCCCCTTTATCAGCTTGATGTCCACACTGTTAGAACAAGATTGGTTATGATCATATCTCAGAGTTTTGATGATAACAATAAATTATATTTTATATAATTGATACTCTGATGAACGTATTTAATTATTTCATATAATGTTCTGACAGAAGCATCTGATGTGCTGAGCTGAAAATAAATAAAGAAGTCTTTGATGAAAGAACTATTTGTTTTAGCGCATGTACTGATGTTGTCTCTGATAATGTTCTGACAGAAGCATCTTGATGTGCTGAGTTGAAAATGAATGAATAAGTTCTTTGATGAAAGAACTATTTGTTTTAGCGCAAGTGTTGATGCTGATGCTGACTCTGGTAAGATAATTGTTTAAATACATCTTCTAACGCTTAGCAAGTTTCTGTGTAAGTTATGTTTCAGAAGTTCTTTGAAAAGCAAGCGCTGATCAGAAGTACTTAGCAAGCAAACGTTGTTTAGAAGATATGAAAGCATGTTCTGAATCAAGACGTGAAGCCAAGTTCTGAATTAATATAGAAGCTAGCAAGTCTTGTCAAGGATCAGGAGACATGCTCTTACAAGTTCTGTTTGCTCATTTAATGCAAAGACGGCTACATGAACTCAAGTGTCTATGCTAGTTCATTGGAAAATAGAATAGTGCAAGGAAACACACACACATTTAATTCTCTCCATTTGAAGGCATCAACGGTCATTTTTCTTCATGCTATATATAGAAAGAACATTAATTGCAAGCCAACGAGAGAACCACTGAAAGACTGAACAACTGAAGTTCTGAATAAAACTGAACAGATTCAAAAAGAAGCAAAAGCTACGTGAAAATATTCTGGGCTCACAAACAAATTTCATACACTTTCTACAATATTATTCTTAGTGAAAAATCACAGTTGTGATATAACTTTCTTAGAAGCAAACTTTGTTTCACTATCTGTAAAGATTTATCTCTTGTAATTGTTCTTGAGAGACCAAGTTTGGTCAGATTTCTCAAGTAGACTAGGACTAGTTTAAGTCTTAGTGGTGTTAGTCACTTGTAAGATTATTTGTGCATTGTTAGTCACAACAGTTGTTGTGTGATTGTAATCAGTTGATTATAGTGGATTAAGTCCGTTGAGAAAGGCGAAATTACCTTGGCGGGTGGACTAGAGTAGTTTGAGTTTAAACGAACCAGGATAAAAATAACCTTGTCTTTCCATTATTGTTGAGCCTTTAAGAAAAGAAAAGGAGAAACTTATTCAACACCCCCTCCCCCCCCCCCCCCCCCCCTTATAAGTGTTTTCTCAACCTTCACACACTGCATTTCTTCATGGTGATCTCAATGAAGAAGTGTTATATACAGCCTCCGCCTGGTCTTCATTTGCCATCCCTTAATTATGTTTGCAAACTCCAAAGGTCCTTATATGGGTTAAAGCAAGTTAACATGAAATGGAACACCAAGCTCACAAACACTTTCACTTCTTCTGTCTACTTTCAATCCAAGTATGATTATTCTCTCTTCACAAAACAAAGATTTACAAGCTTCACAATTATACTTCTGTACGTAGATGGTCTTGTTTTAGAGGGGAACTGGTGTCGAAGAAATCAAATATATCAAAGTTTTACTGGATACCAAATTCAGTATTAAAGACTTAGGTGTTCTTAATACTTCTTGAGTTTCGAAGTAGCAAGGAAAGAAGCTGAAATCTCTCTATGTCAAAGGAAATATACATTGGGGGCGTGAGCTTACTCGGGGAAAAAACATGTAACACACCTATGCAACCACAAATACAGTTACATAAATCTTCTTGTGGGGTTATATCTAACCCTACAACATATAAGAGACTCATTGAAGATTGTTATACTTGACTCATACCAGGCCTGACAATGCTTACATTGTAAGCAAACTCAGTCAGTTCCTTAATGCACCAACAACGCAGCATATGCTAGCAAGATTTCATGTGCTTAAATATCTCAAACAATGTCCTAGACAAGGCTTGTCCTACAACTCTAACCCATCTCTCCATTTCAAAGGTTTTTCAGATTCGGATTGTGGTGCTTACCCCAATACTAGAAGATTAACTACCGATTTTTGTTTCTTTCTTGGCAACTCATTGATTAGTTGGAAAAACAAGAAGCAAAATGTGGTTTCCAGATCATCTTCAAAAGCTGAGTATAGAGCTTTGGCTCATACCACTTGTGAAGGACAATGGCTCAAATATTTGCTGCAAGACTTTCACATAGAACATTTGACACCCATAATTGTTTATTGTGATAACAAGTCGGCACTGCATATAACTGCTAATCATTGTGTTTCATGAGAGAACAAAACACGTAGAGATAGGCTGTCATGTTGTTAGAGACAAAATATCGTCGGGTCTCATACACGTGTTTCCAGTTCTATCAAAAGAACAAGTAGCAGATATCTTGATAAAACTTCTCCATCCAGGTCCACAAGTTAATAGCTTTCCACCTAAGCAACAAGTGTTATAACCATTTTATTTTTTTGTTATTAGTTAGCTAGTTGACACGTTACACTAAGCTCATAGTGTGTATATAAGTTGCTTCTTCTCTTTGTAACAAGTAGATTTGTGAGCAATAAATCCAATGCATGATTGTGCATTCTTCTTCTCCAAGCTTTGTATGCAACAATGATGAATCACCATTAACTTTTACAACATTCCGCAAAATTCAGCTAAAAAACAAACAGAATGGATATTGTTGAATGTGCGAATCTAAAAATCAAACTGTCTAAGAAAAACGAGGGCATGGCGGGACAACTACATTGGAAAGCACGGATCTAAAACTTTGGTCTAACATGTCTGATGAGTCGGATCCATTTTTTCTCCATTAAGTATAAATAGATGGTTGTCGGGTGAAAAAAATGGAAAATTTGATCAAATCTATTGGTGTTCGTATATTGTTTTCTAGAACCATGAGACCCACGAACTATAATTTGCTTTCCTCTCTTATTTCTCTCTCAGGACACCACACAACATTTCACACCCTCAAACCTCATTTTTAACCGGCTGCTCTAATAAAATATAAGGGGTCTGAATTTGGCACAATTTAAGAATATCTATCACAGTTTGTGTAGGAGTTAAACAAACTCAATAAATTAGATCAAATAAAAACATCAAATAGTCAACATTTCATGAAAAACTAATGCGAAAGTCGATAATATTATTACATCATCTGTGCAAAGAAAGTATCAACTCATCATTGCAAGCCTCACCAGAAAATAAAAGAACAGATGATGCTTAAATAGTTCAAACAAACTAGAGTTGCAATCAGTAATTAGATGACCAGTTAGCAGCACTTCCAACTCTTGGCATGCCAATTGCTTCCTTCTTAGAATTTGCATCCACCTTGAAAGTTGAACCACATACCTGACCAGAACTATCAATCCTTGGTATCGGCTTCAACTCGTTAAGTGGGATGCTCGAAACTCCTCAAACCACCTGATGTTGTAAAGAAGCATCCTAAACACAAACAAACACATATTCAAACTCATTAATAACTCGTGTTCAAACACTTGGTTGCTTAGAGGTTCATCTAGTTGAACACCAATGTACTCAACATTGAGTGCAGGATCATAAGATCGTAAGATCTTACATGCCAAGGACGCCTGAGTGTGCTACGATCATAGAAAGATTGTTTTTGTCACCGGTGTGGTCAAGATCGAGCTTTTAGAAGCAAGATCATAAAAAAAACGTGCAAGGCCTTTTATTTACCTGAATTATAATTTTCAGGTTTTTGCATATGCGTGTATAAATATATATGAAATTACCATTTTTCCCTTCAATAGGAACCAGGGTTTTAAAAAAACGGGGTCACGACAAAACCGTTTTGGCAAATGCGGATACTGATACCATAATTACCGTGTTCTATATTAAAGAACAGATCGTGGTAAATTCACACCACAACGACTGCATTTAGTATCGCGACACCTGTACCGAGTTGTCGAACACATTTCATTCTTTATTTATGAGCTGATTAAATCATGTTATTACCTTTAGGGAATGGAGCATAAGATTTGCCACAGCTCTTGCGAACAATATCGATCTCATCTGAAAGAACTAGATTTTCATCAGCATCAATTCCCCAGAAGAAAGGAACACTCCCGTCAGCATCCTGAAAAGAACCGCAATGGCATACTAAGTAAGGGCAGAAAATGATTGGAAAATATAACATGGAAGACAAATATAAACCCTAGGATCACTCACAGAAGCAACAAACACAGTCTGCGAACTACTGTCAAACAGGATGAACGCAAATTTTCCTTGGAAATCTCTCACAACTTGATCAGCGGGATAGGGACCGCCGATCCCTTAAGGTCCTGTAAGCCTCAATGACAATAGTCACCTCATTTGCTGATTTGTTCAATCCATATTGCTGTTTAAGATTAGCAACATTATCAACATGGCCTTGAAACAAGCAGAAGATGTCATCCACAACTGCAAACAACCTGCAAACACATGAAGAAGCTAGTAGAAAAAGATTAACAAATGATTCTGCAGAAATCTACAGATATAAAGACAATTGACAAAAGACAAACTATATATAAATTGTTAAGATCTAAGAATAAACAACAAAAGAGAAACATTTTTTGTATTGTATGTATCATACACACAACAACCTTAAAGGAAAATCTATAAGGATCTCTATATTTATGTTAGACATTTCTAAGGTCACAAAAAAAAAAAAAAACAGGACAAGACAAGTCAAGACAGAACAGAAAAACATAACACAAAGTAAAAAGTACAAAGGCAACAATTTAGTGATCACCAAAACGTTGATTGGATCAAAAGGCTAAGAAAAACACATAAGGTTTATCACATACAAAAAACAAAAAAAGGTTCAAACTTTGATCTCATCAAAGAGACCCAGATCAAAAAAAAAAAAAAGATCACAATCTAACAATGAGGAAATTAAACATAAATATGATAAAGGTGAGAAATTTATACCTTGGAGTAATGGGTTGTTTTTGTGAAGAGAATAGGCTAAAAAAGCGGAAGAAGCAAGGTTAAGGTTAACAGAAGAAGGGTGAAGGGATGCAAAATGTAGACTCAAAAAATCATCTTTGAGCGATGAAACTGAGTTAGATTGAGGACTCTGTAAACCCTCAGGACTTTTGGCTACAGATTTGTTAAAAACCGCTAACATTTTTGGTTTTCTGAATCAAAAATGGATTGTTAGACAAGAGAAGAGAGGTTCTGGTATTTGTAGTTTTTTTATTGGAGGTTAAAACTGCTACTACGGTTGTAATAAGAGTTATTCTGTCAAATATATATTAATAATTAATAATATGATAATGATGATGATGAGTAGATGATGAGGATGATTCAATGGATTTATCTTGTCATGATGCGGATACTGTTAATCACGGGACTTGATTAAGGGATTCCAATAACTTCCATTTCCTTCCATTTTGGTCAAATTTTTCCGATACAAATGTACAAGTTATATATATATATATATTGATAAGTTATTTATTGTAAAGTCGAAATTTTTTTATACATGAAGATTAATTACTTCAAAGTTATGTTCTAAAGCTATTTTGTTTTTTGTTAGATAATATTTCATTCTCTTGATAGACAATAAATGTTTTTGCTATTAAAATCTTCGGAAGCCTTTTTTTTTTTATTGAATCTTTGGATGCCATTCTTAAAATAAAATATTTGGAGTAAAATGATTGCATAATATCTTAATCTTGTTTGTCATGACAATAGGAAACTTTTCAAATTAAATTTTATTAATATATTTTTCAATTATCTTATATATAATAATAATAATAATAATAATAATAATAATAATAATAATAATAATAATAATAATAATAATAATAATAATAATAATAATAATAATAATAATAATAATAATCAAATTTTTCCATTTAATATAAATTCATAATAAGATATTTTTAACTTTATCTCATATTAAGAAATATATAAATTAATGGAATATTTAACTTTTAATTGAGATTTTTCAAATATATCTATAAAGAAAATATAGTTTTTCTTAAATAATAAATTTTGAATTAATTTAAAAAAATAATAATTACAAGCGATTCAATGGAGATCCAGAATCAAAAGACTAAGAAAGTTAAGAGAAATCTATCACTTTTATATCATTAGAATAGCTATATACTTTCTCAGTTTCTTATTATTCCAATTCCCTTAGCACAATGAATTAACCAATTTAACTCCTTTTGTCATTCTTCAGGTTTGCGATGGATTTGGATCCACTCCAAAACTTCAATCTAAATCTTTTTTGTGATCGGACAGTCGAAGAATAAATACTTTACTAATTCCTCCCCTGAACAGAAACAACATTTCACATTATCTACCATTATGAATCTATGTAATCTATCCTTCGTGGCTAGTCTTTCATGACATACAAGCCAAAGGATAAAAACTGCTCGGGATCGAGCATTATTGTCAAACATCAGATCTCTCCATTCAATTTTTTGAGTGTGCTCTTGTATTAGGTTATAAATTTTACTCATGTTAAAATCACTTCATCCCATGATTTCGCCCCGTTCATCCATATTTCTAATATCATCTCTTTGATTAAGTATAGCCTTCATAATCCACGTATAATTAGGCTTAACCTCATCTAATTCATAGTGAGTCGACTTTTCCACTCAATAAATTTGGACCCATCTAATTCATAGTGAGTCGGCTTTTCCACTCAACTTTCAGAGAAGTTTAATTAAATTGACTTTATTCCATACCTCGATGTCAACAATATTCAGCCCCCTTGACATTTTGGTTTGCAGATTTTCTTCCAAGCAATTGGAGACATACAGGATTCCAATAACTTTGTTTGTTTCCGTTTCAGTCAAATATTTCGGATACAGTAATGTATAAGTCATAGTAATAAAATCCTGACGGTTTCGGTCAGTCGGATCGGTTAGACCGTGAACCGTAGGGTAGAACAGTCAGGTAAATTCATCAGACCATATTACAATTGAGCCGGTGAAAACTGGTGTGACCCAGTCAATTCACTAGTTCAGATCAATGAGCCTGGGTTTTTTGATCCGACGGATTAATCTTTTTATGTTTATTTTTTAACTTAATTATAATTTTGATCATCTATTTTCATTCTCCTAAGTTTTGGTGCCTCTGTTTTAAAATTCAATTTTATTAATATTTATAATTATGTTAATTATTTACTAAATGATAATAATAAAATTATAAAAATGAAATTTTGTTAAATTTTAAGAATTAGACCTGTAATCTTTCAAGATTATTAGAATTGTAACCTTACGAACTGCATTGTAAATCTTTTTGATGCTCAATTTGATTAAAGAGAAAAAAATTATATATTTTATAATTACAACAATAAAATTCTCATTAAACTTATTTATTATTAATTATACCATATAATAATATAATAAATTTAAAGTATTAGAAAATTAATTATATTATATAATAAAATTTTAAACTAACAAAAGTTTTAAAAAATTATGTTACAAAAAAAATTATATTTTTACATTATTATAATTCGTGTGATTCGACCAGTGATCCACTGATTCAACTATTAACCCACTAATTTAATAGTTTGACCGAGTCAATGACCACGATCTAAATTTTAAAATATTGGTACAAGTTGAAATTTGACATATATATATATATATATATATATATATATATATATATATATATATATATATATATATATATATATATATATATATATATATATATATATATATATATATATATATATATATATATATATATATATATATATATATATATATATATATATATATATATATATATATATATATATATATATATATATATATATATATATATATAATTTGTCTTATATGAATCAGAATTATTGATATTAGATAGTTTTGTTTGACATTAAATATAATTATTATTATTATTATTATTATTATTATTATTATTATTATTATTATTATTATTATTATTATTATTATTATTATTATTATTATTATTATTATTATTATTATTATTATTATATTGATTATAATATTAATAATAACAAATTTTGAAAATATAGAATATTGAAAATTAATTAAAACTTAAATGAAGTATTTAGATAACAGGATCAAAGTATTATTAATAATTTTTTAAATAATTTTATAACATTTTCTAAGAAAATTGTACTACACTAAAAAACTAATTTTTAATCAAAAATTTGTTAAGTTGTTAGTATAAAAAATTAACGAATCTAATTTTTTCTAAATCATATATTTATTTAAAAAATTAAATTGTTTTAAATAAAAATTAAAAAATTATTTTATATAGTGATAATTCATATATGTAGTTTATTATGATATTTACGCTACACATAAATATATTTAATATTTTCATTTAATTTTAAATTAATTTTAAAAATTCTACATTTTCAAAATTTATTATTATTATTATTATTATTATTATTATTATTATTATTATTATTATTATTATTATTATTAAATGTTTCGAATCGATATTTTTATTGAATTTAAAAAAAATGGATGAATAAAAATTTATTAGAATAAAGCATTTTGATATTATACTTATGATGATCAAATAGAAATAATTTTTTTTTCATAATATTATTAGAATAAATGTCAAGACTTCCTCAACAAATTAAAGAAATGCAAGAATTTTCTAGCAAACAAAAACAACAAGTTGCTTCATGTGAGTTGTGTAAGGGAGGTCATCAAACAAGGTATCGTCCTCCGGTTGAAGAGGAAGTAAATTATATGAGTAACCAAAATCAAAATCAAGGTTATCAAGGAAGACAACAACCTTATCAAAACAACCAAATTACCAACAAAGAGGAAATAATCAAGGTTATCAACAAGGTTGGAGACAAGATGCCGGAACTTCAAACCGTCAAAATCATTATCAAAATACCACTCAACCTCCCCAACCTCAGAGTGGAAGTTCAAAGCTGGAAGATACTCTCACCCAATTCATACAAATGTGAATGGCCAATAAAAAAAGTAATAAGGCGGCGATTAAAAATCTTGAAAGCCAAGTGGGGCAACTTGCGAAACAACTAGTCGAGCAACAATCGGGGCCATCCTTTTCTGTAACACTTAAACAACCCCAAAGGAGTATTGCAAAGCTATTGTGACTAGGAGTGGAAGAGAGGTAGGAGATGGATAATAAAATGATAAGAAGGGTGATGAGGTTGATTGTGAATAAATTGTGATGGAAAAAGATAAGGAAGATGAGATAGAAGTAGAAAAAATGTTGAGGAAGAATTAGTTGAAAAAGAGAAAAATGAGAAAGAAGAAGTAGAAAAGAAAAATAGAGAAGAGAAAAAGAGAAAGAACAACAAGGGGAAGGAGAAGTTGAACGATATTCCAATTCAAAATTTACCTTATCCTCATGCTCCTTCCAAGAAGGACAATGCTAGGTATTATGCTCGTTTTATGGATATATTTCGTCAATTACAAATCAACGTTCCATTTTTCGAAGCCATGGAACAAATGCCTACATATGTGAAGTTCATGGAGGACATCCTTACAAAGAAGAAAAGATATACTGACTAAGAAACAATCACTCTTGATGCAAGTTGTAGTGCAATCATTCAACAAACTTTATTGTAGGAGGAAAGTGATCTGGGAAGGGTTACTTTATCAGTTACAATTTGAGATGTTTATGTTGGTAAAGGTTTGATTGATTTGGACTCTAGCATCAATTTGATTTTGTTATCTATTATGAAGATATTGGGAAGCATTGAGATGAAACAACACGAATGACCTTGCAGTTGGACGACAAGTATACAACTCATCCCCATGGAGTAGCGGAAGATGTGCTAGTAAAGGTGGATAAATTCTTATTTCCAATTGACTTCGTTTTTATTGACATGGAGGAAGATCATGACGCACCATTGATTCTTGGGAGACATTTTATGAAGACCGCTAGGATGATGATTGACATCGATGATGGTCTAATAAAAGTGAGAGTTCAAGATGAAGAGGTTTGTTTTAATCTTTTCGAAGCCATGAATCATTCCAAAGATATAAATGATAGTTTTCTAAAATTTTGGCACACATAATATCAGATGTCAAGACTGGTGTCTTAACAACACACAATATCATAACAGATATTACGACATCTGATGACACCAAACAGACTTGCTAAAAACAGAAAGGTTGTGCAGGAAGATAAAGTACAAAAACTTTA